TTAATTAAGTTAATTAATTAACTTAACGTACGTTACTACTAGTAACTAGTACTACTACTACTACTACGTACGTACGTACGTACTACTACTACTCTCTCTCTCTCTCTCTCTCTCTCTCTCTCTCTCTCTCTCTCTCTCTCTCTATATATATATATATATATATATATATATATTCTTCTAAAATTCAGCCGCCTGGCCACTTACCTGGCCGCTTAGGCATACCGCCCGCGCCTAGACAGCACCTCATGCCTTTGGCCAAGGATGGAAAAAGGCACTCAACCAAGAGCAATTCTTCTCATTTTTTCCTTTTAACCATTTTAGGTTGAATCTGAGAGAGAAGCATAAAGAAAATAAACTAGATTTCTGTCAAGATTAAACAAAATTGTGGACTTTCCAATTTTTCATAAATCTGATACTTTTTATGGCTTGAAATGGTTGCAAAAGAGGCCTTTAGGCAACCAAAAATCACTGCTTTGAGCCAAGATCTCTAGGGTTTTGAATGGTTAGTGTACTAACTTAAAGGTGAATTGTCCATTGGGTACAATGTTTTTTAGGTCTACTGATACATCAGACAAGAATCGTGATGCACAATTTCTATTTGTGTAAAGAGATCAGTGTATAAAGGACTTGGGTGAGGAACATCTGATCTGTAGTGACTGATATGGCTACAGCCAATATGGCAGCTTCGAGGATGTTAGCAGGGGAGGCAAAATATTTTTTGGTCAACCGACAGGGCACATTGCATTGACCTCGTGCTTTAGGCTATTAGCAAGATGAAAGTGGTCCATACAAGATTGAAGATAGTAAAGATTATCACAATTTATACATATGGCTACACGTAGGTAAGCTCAAAACTTATCTTTTTTTATTGTGAATTGGTGATTGCAATACTTAGTACTTCTGTTTTAACTTCTAAAGTTTTAAGCTTTAACTTGACTTCTAAATATACTTATGTTAGTTTATTATTGGTTAGGTCTTGACCATGATGTGAAACTTTATAGACGAGGCAGTTGGTGATGCCTGGGGTGACCAGATCTCCTATTTGCCTATGCAGTCTATTTTGGCCCAAAAAGACAAGCTCAGGGTCATGTTTATTTCCAAAGAATGGACCCAAAGCAAGTTGTCCAAGGGGGTACAACAGAAAGTAGTGGGTAACATAGTTTTGGACAGTCCTTTTTGGATTGGGCTTCATTATGCCCTGAGTGCTTTTGACCCCTTAGTGAAAGTACAGCAGCTAGTGAATAGTGATTAGGAACCCGTAATGGATCGTATTTACAAGCAACGGAGAATGCCAAGGAAAAAATCAAGAACATAGGCAATAGTGAAAATAATCATACTCCTTTATAGAGGAGAAGTATAACTCACAGCTAGAGAATCCCCTACACCTAGCAGGGTATTATCCCAACCCTGCTTATTTTAATATATATCCAACTTCTAAGTTCTAAATATGACCTCTAAATATACTTATGTCCTCCATTTATTTTATGCAATCTAGCTTCTTTGGTGGAAAAAGTATGATGGAGCGCCCATCATTTGCAGCAGATGGCTATGCGCATGACGAATATGACTTGTAGCTCATCTGGTTGCAACCGCAACTTCAGCGCGTTTGATATGGTAATTTTTTAACCAACTCATTGTCCACTTGTATTAGTTTCCTACTACTCCTAAATTGCATTATATTTTTCTAAGTTTTAGTCTTGCATTCTCACATTATTGAATGAGTAGAAACAAACAAACAAAAGAAACATGCTCGAACGGAAGAGACTGAACGACCTTGTTTTCATTCAGTTTAATCAGAAGTTGAAGGATCACTATAAAAGTGAAATGAAATTGACCACATAGTTGTAAAAAATGTAGATAATATCACCGAGGGTTTGGTTGATGTTGAAGATGAAGAAGTATTCCCTGGAAAGGGGATTGACCTGGAGCCAAGTTAGTGAAGCTTCATGGACCCCACCAAGCGATGTATGGGCCACTAGATGTCAAACTTGAACGAAGAAATTGAGAAGAGAGAGAGGTGGACAAGAAGGCCAATTCAGAGGAGAACACGGAAGAAGATGAGTATGTGGTGGAGGGGGATGAGTCTGAGGATGATGGCCAAGCATCATCATCAAATTCAGAAGCATCTAGTGGTGGTTGGATGAATGGAGATGTTGCAAATAGTGATGATGAAAGTAGATTACCAAATTGAGTTCATCAAATTTGTTGTCTCGTTTTGAGCTTTTTAAGTCTTTGGGGTTTTGACTTTTGTGAGTTGTGACTTTGTGTTGCTGGTGATGAAATCATATAATGCCATCAGGTTTATGCAAATGTTTAGCAACCTATACAATTTTGCACAAATTTTGGACAAGTTTCAATCTTACAAAGTTTTAGTAATTCAATTTTGAGTTCAAGGCCATGTATGTATGAGTTTGAAATAGTACAACATAATAACACACATAAAAGCCCTAAAAAGAGTTTTTTTCTTTTTTCTCTTTTTTTTTTTTGTAGAGGGGGGGGATTCACTAGAAACATCCTAGAGGACCCAAACCCCCTGCTCTCTGTTTAGGCCGCCTAGGTTTCTAAGCGCCATTCTAGCCGCCTAGGCAACCAAATTCAAATTTTTCAACACTAATACACGCACGCACTTCGGGATAATCTACAATTCACGACCCTTGAAAATACAAAAGATAATGTTAGAATGGGTTGTGAAGGGTGGATTTACTAAGCTTGTCGTTTTTCTCTTAAAATAAGTTACTTTTTATGTTAGCTTGCTCATTAAGTACGGGTGTATATGTATTTTATTTTTTTTTGAGAAATGGGTGTATATGTAATTATTAGTAAAAGACAAGGGGCACTTTTGTCATCTTGATATTTTAGGCTGTCAATTTCACCATAGATTTGATAGTTTCTTTTATTTCCTCCCAAAAAAATTTGATATCCAAAAGTGTTTAGACTTTCTGGAAGATTTTATTCACTTATCATCCAAAAAACTAGCATATTTGGGTACAGCCAACTGACTATAAGTTGAGCTAAGCTTTGAATGTATTAATCATGAGCCTTTGCCACTTGAAGGATCATCGTGGTTGTTTTGGGATTAGTCTTGCTTGCATATTAAACATAGTTGAGAGTTCATGAAGGTGCTTGGGGTACTTGATCCAAATATACAATCCCATGCTAGCATTAATCTTAAAGCAGAATTTATTTGCATATGAGTCATTTCCATTTGGTTTGGTTAAAATACTTTTTGTTAAATCAAATTCTTTGGCAGAAAATAATGCTAATTACAGTTTAAAATGGACCTATTTGATAAGTTTAGGGAGGAGTACAATTTTATAAAGGAATGTATTTTATAAAAGCCCCAAAATATTTTCTCAAGTAGTTTTGGTGTCCTAATTCCTAAACATTAGGATGTCTCATTGTTAATTCTCAAGTGTTTTCCTTACCTAATTCTCAAGTGTTTTGCGCATGCTCCCTCAGGTATGGTCCTGATTTAGAACCACAACTCACAATCTTTGAATGAATTACATCTTCAGGGAGTAATGGGATATATATCCCACTGAAAATTGGATTGTGATCCATATGCCTGGACTCCACTCATGAGGGATACATAGGGAGAAAAAGGGCCACACTATAAACAAGGCTAAAAGTAGTATACATGACGCACAATTGATATAAATACACCTTCAAAAGAGGAACACTATAAAAATGAAAATATGAACTTTGGAAAGAGACACTTGCCCAAAAAGAACCTACAAGATCTAATTAATGCTCAACATGGGTCATAATGAATATGTAAGTTACCTTTATAAAAGGTAATCATTAAGGTAATAGAGGGCACCAGACCTAATTGATGTTGGTACAGAGGCAATAGGCCAATAGCTACAACATATAAGATGAAATTAATGGAGGTCCACATATTTGGGTCTTTGGTGCAGCACCTATAGCTACAGCATGTTAGTACTGCTTATATGGTAATCAATGTGCTTTAAGGATAAGATAAGAGAAAACCACGAAAAAAGTTGTTTTGCACTTATCCCCAGTAAGGAAGTTTACTGCAACGAGTTAGTCGCCTCACCTGAACATGCACCGAAGGTAAATTTGAATTTTATAAAGAAATTCATTACAAACCAAAAAAAGGCAGCTAAGAGTCAAAATAAGGCTTAAAAGTGAGTTACATGGACCATAACTGATATGGAAGTTTCTTTTAAAAGAAAGGAAGACATCAGAGGTAACTTATTCAAAAATATAAACAAAACATTATGGGGAATAATAGGGTGTTTCCCCTGGAACACCAAACTTGGGGTTCCACCCATCTCGGAAACCACCTTTGAGGTGTTGAGAGGACCTAAAAATGCTTCAAATAATTCTCACACTCCAAACACAATTTCATTAAAAAAGGCAAAAAAATCAAATTTGGGATAAAAAAAAAGGCCACAAATCCACAAGGACTCGAACGTAAAATCTGGCAGCTTTTTCAGTGAGCGATGGATATGGAGGATCTCAACGGTTGTGAAGCTCCACATCAGAGCAAACTTGGAGGAAATTGATTATGAGGTATTTAGAACTTTTTCAACGCCCCCAACACCTCAAAGAGGTTTTTGAGGTAAGTGGAGATTGGAGAACCAAGTTAGGCATTCCAGGGGGAACACACTATTATTCCCCAAACTTAATAGTCTATAATAAAATAAATTTGAAATTACAATATGTGCATTTATTATTCTGAATCAGAAATCACACAATGAATCTCCCTAAAAAATTTATAAAATTGAAGTGTTTTAATTAGAAAAAAAAAAATTGACGTTCGTTATTATTAAGTCAAAATTTCATATCATAGAATATTTTATCTAGTTTAATAAAATCCCGATAAATTTCTGATAAATATGATGATATGAAAAACTGGTTTTTTTTATTGATTTTATGATGTGCATTTAGATATAGTTTAATATATTTATATGGTAATTCTTTAATTGGGATAAGGTTTGGATGATGATGATGGTATGATAATTCTTTACATTTCACTATTTTTTTTGTATAATTATTGTACTTGTGCTCCCAAGGTCACTCCTAGACTAGGGAGCTTATGGGAAGCAACAAAGCCCCACTGCTGCACCCACTTCCTCTCCCACGCCACTCCCACCCTGAACAACTAAAGATAAAGGATGTCGTAAAGAAAGAGGGACTCATAGAGACGCATGCCCACGTCTTTTAGATAACAACCCGTTTCATAAATTAGAGAGAGAGAGAGAGAAAGAGAGAGAGAGAGATCATGGGTTGTACTGGACTACTGGCCTACGGATTAAGGAATAAGGCGTGTATGGGGAGTCAAGGAAGTATACTACAAGTGTCATTACTAGATTTCACTCTATCTGGGATAATAACCTACCAAGGAAGTGGAGGAATATCAACCATTATAACCATTAATTATAAGAGTGAAATTACGTGAATAATGATGGGGAGGATGTGAGTAAATTTGGAACTCAAAAATTCTCTAAGAATTCCCATTAAGTGCTATGGATACCCTCTCTGAGGGCATACTTCCAAAAGTCTCAAATTGAAATAGAAGAGGAAGAATGAGGAGTTTGTGTTCCATGCTTGGGCAGCAAGCGAAGGTCTGGTGGTCTCAATATGGCTGTGCTACTCAGCCGAAGGTTCAAGGGCCTATTGTTTTGTGTATGAATTCTCACATCCACCAAGTTGGAATAATGTTTTTCCTCTCTCCCATTCGGCATTTTTATAGTGGCTAGCAGATTTACAAGCCAGTATTTTCTTGGTTTGAATTTGATTTTGAAGTTCTTCTGCCCATAATACCTTTACACTAAGTTGCACAAACCCTTCAAAGTTATTGAATGCATTAACAAGGTTAATTACAAGTAATTTGAGGCTTCCCAGCTTCCCAATTATGCAAGTTCCTCAATTTCAACCAGAGAAAAAAAAAAGCATTCAACCAAATAACTCAAAAGCTACAAAACTATTGATTCAATGAAACAACTAGCAACAGTGGATTATACAAGGAAGTGATTAAGGCCATGGACCTCAGCCTCCAAGACAAGGATAGTAAGACGGTGAATGTTAGGAATAATATTTTTCCCTACGGTTATGGGCTCTTTGCAGTAGGGACACGAGTCTCGGCTCCTAAGTTAGGGCGAGATTTAATAGCCATTATTAATAGGACTCGGTTTCTATGCGGCCAAGCCCACATATGTAGAAATGCGGGCCTATTAATAAATCTATTTTTGAGATAGATTTTTGGACTTAATTTTTAAGGACATGTAATCTCTAACATGGAGATCATCATGAATATGAAAAAATACGTAAATTTTAAAAACTAGAAACAATAATTCTAGTAAGATAACATTTAGACCATTAGTTTCCATTGTTTTTAGATAGAACACCCATTTGCATCCATCTTTAAGATGGACGCTTTACATGTTTTGGACCGCATATGTAGTCATGCGGTCCAGCCGGCATAAAACAATTTTCCTTATTAATAACTTATAAACAATAGGATGGATTGAGGTCCCATATTGTATGATGAAGCTTTTATTCTTGAAAACTACATAGCTGTTAATGGTCCAGACTACCTTACTAGGGTCTCCAAAGAACATAATGCCTTCTTAGAAGAGTCTCCAAAGAACCAGTATTAGTGCAACAGATTAGCCTTGAGCCCATGTTGTGTGTCCAGACGTGTTGACACTTAGATAAAACACCTCCCAACACTGAGGAGAGCATTATAACAAAATAACCGAGCAGAATCAAGTTCCTCTTGAAATGAGATCATTTGTTGGACGATGCAGCCATGCATTCTTGTGTTTTTCAACAGTGGAAATTTTATTACTCGAAGTGAACAAAATAATATTATTGTTCAAAATAGTACTTGTACAGATGTGTTGTGCCTTATTGGGTTTTCGGGCCCAAGTACTCGACCAATAGAACTTGTAGGACCCACTTAACACTACTAAGGATGTTGGGTGATTGTTTGGGTGTTCAGTCTTCAAAGGAGGATAGCCTCCTTGCATGGGCCATAAAAGTTTTTTAAATTGCAGCTGCCACCAAAAAAATTACTACCCGTATATTTTCTACACATGGTTTATTAACTAGTCAACAACCTTCACAAAATCCTGACATGTAAGCTGGAACTATTACTCGGTTCAGTTTATTGATAATTGAATTTTCTTTGTTTGAATGGGCAATTCAGGTTTAGGCAAACGTGAAAAAATAAAAAATCCAGCATAAATAAATAAAGTAGCCAAAGAAAGCAAGGGCCAATTGGTTAATCATTTGATTAAATATAATAAATATGACACCACACGCAAACTATTCTGCTTAAAACACAGAAATTGAACCATAAGAAAAATAAGAGAAGAACAGTATAAATAAATAAATAAAGTAGCCATAGTGAAAACACAAAGACAGCAAGGCCAATTGGTTAATCATTTGATTAAATTGAAGAAATATGACATTACACGCAAACTAGTCTGCTTTAAACACAGAAATTGAACTATAAGAAAAATAAGAGAAGAACAGATACTACAAAAATACACTATTCAATCACTTGATTGATCAAACAAAGACTTACCTTCCATTTTGTCGCCAAATCCTAATGCAATGGCAGTCTTTGGCATATCCCTTCGATGAGAAAACGTGATAACCAAATCATTCAGTTCTTTACCCTCGATCCTCGATCCAATCCCAAAAGAAGCAATAAATTGTAAGAACATTTGAACCTCGGCTGGGTTTGAATCCTCATCGATCCTCTCCATCCAAACCTCTGCAATAGCCCATGCCTTTTCTCTAACATTGGCTGGAAACCCTAATTTGAAACCACCATTGGATTCAATAAGAGCCATGGCTGGTGATAATGCCCTCAGAGCCATACCACAAGCCCACCTCATATCCGAAGCCCCAATTTTACCCAAACTCTCATGAACAAAGCCTTCCATGATTCTTAATACAAATCCTATTGGGTCTACGCATTCAGAGAGAGCATGAGATATCTCTGCCTTCAAAGCTGCAAGATCCTTGCGTTGAGAGATTAAGAACCTTAATAGACCGTCCAAATCCATTCTTCGACAAAAGGACCTGAGTTTCTCAGGCAATTCTCCTTTGTTGACGTTGGCAAAATCAGAGAAAGCAGCTTCTTTAAGCTTCTCGATTCGATCAAGGGAAGCTGATTCAATGGCGGGAATGGAGCTCTCTCTTCTATCCAGTGAACCTAGCGTTTCTTTGGTTGTGGTTTCTAGGGTTTGAAGCTTCGAGTCTAGGGTTTGGGATTTCAGGTTCAGGTCACGTTCCAGAGAGGAGAAATGATTGGCGACCTTCCTCCATAGATCAGTGCAACTAGTAAGGAGGTTTTTCTCAGTCTCTAGAGTTTCAAATAGCTTCTGCAAATTCTGGTTTCCTTCCATTAAAGTAGTTGCCATGATTGAAGAGAAACAAGCTCAGTTTTCAAACAGTGAGGAAGAGAAACCCTTAAATCAGAGAAGAAAGAGAGTTCAAATTTTGCAGAAACGCCACAAAAAGGAAAATATTACAAGAAAATAGAAGAACGAGAAATTGCAGAGTTATAGAGCCTAATCCGGAGGAGTAGCTCTGAGAGTTTTAGCTCGAAGCCGTTATACGTGGTTCGTGTGAAGGGAAAAAGGTGGATAGTAGGAACAAATGATATTATACTCCCTCGGGAGTATACTGTCCATTTACGCCCTCGGCTAAAACCCTACCAAGGGTTAAATCTAGGGCGCCAAATTTTTTGGGATATAACTTTTTCAGCCCATATGTTAATCCTCAATAAAAAGTTCCTACTTGTATCCTCTGCACACTTGAAAAATAATACCTCAAAATTAAACAAAAGGAATTATTTTATGCAGGTTGAACCGCATTTCTACATATGCGGCCAAAAAGTGTAGGTGTTGCATCTAAAAACAATGGTTAGAATTATTATTTTTAGTTTTTAAAATTTATTTATTTTTCCATATTTATGATCTCCATGTGAGATATTACATGTCTTTAAAAATTAAATGTTAAAATCTATCTCAAAAATAGATTTATTAAGAGGCTCATATTTCTACATAAGCGGGCTTGGCCGCAAAGAAGCCGGGTCCTTAAATAAATACCATCCAATTTTAAAGAGTGAAACCTAAGTGTAAAAAAATTCATATTTCATATTTTTTTCTTTTCAGAATAATCATTTAGTAATGCTTTTGTGGTTCCTAAATATAAACTATTCCCCGGGAGTACGGTGCTCGTGCACTGTGTTTGATTCATGAACATGAACAAATTTCACAAGACAAGCCAGAGACACGGACTGACTTGTGTCCAGTGATTTAAATCGACTCGAAATGAGTTTTCAAGTAGGATAGATTGGCTCATTCCGTAATTAAACTAGGTGAATCTGTCAAGAAATCGAGCAATTTGGATTGCCTAGGTACAACTTATTATTTTTTATTTTAAAAAAAAGTTATTTTTTCACATTGTACAGTTGGTATGATTCGTGGATTGGGACCGAATTTTTCGAAGGTCGGTTTACCGGCTAGTCCAGTTTTTGAAACACCGCGTTTGCCAAAAGCACGAGATATCCCGTAACCTTGTGATTATTAGTAGGATGTATTATTTTTCATCTCTAGTTTAAGTAAGATTTGGAAAAAAATTTGATAATGTCCATCTAAATTATTGTTAATTAAGCAATCTCCGGTTTCAAGTTTGCACTCTTTTTTTCCCTAAACTAACCCTATTTTAGACTTTGATGGTCCGATTTTTGATCAATTATGTTCATAAACTTACTTTGAGTATTGAAAGTTCAAAGTTGTTCAAAACATCAATTTCAGGCTTTCAAGATCCGATTTTGGTTTTAATTAGTTGTCATTTACAAACTTCAACTTCAACTTCCACCCTTCAAAGTCTCATCATCATCAAAGTTTTTTTTCAACTAACTGGGGTTTGGCTATATGAATCTCGGTTTGTAATACCCTCACTGAGACTATAAGTCTCTATATCTTCTCACTACTTACAACTATATCATTTTAGGCTTACCTCTTATCAATTTCGAGTCTTCAACTTGAACTAACTCGCACCTCAAACAGGTGTTGTTCTAAATATGCGTCACAAATAGCTAACTCATATAAGTTTACTTTCTTTCATCTTATCACCTTTTCGTATCGCATCTAAAATCTATCGATTGTATTCATTTCGAATTATATCCCTTCTTGTTTTGTCACTCATCTATTTCAACTGTGCGATCAATTTTGATTGATTCAATCCAACTTGCCATATGGGTGAGGCCTAGTAGGGGTGAGTTCCACAATAACTTACCCATCACTTATAACTATAGTAAAAACATATAAAAAAGTAGACTAAATTAGAAAATTTTGAAAACACCACTATATTAGCTAGAAATAAATTTTTAGATGACTTTGGTAGTTTTTAAGAACTTTCGTATCTTTTTTTTTTTGAATTTTTAAAATATTAAAATTTAAATATAAAAATATACTAATCCATATTTGTAGATATTTTTTCATCTTTTGTAATCTTCTAATGTTTTTTATTACTTCATTTTTTTATTTTTAACTTCTTCTTTTTTATGGCATTTTATTGACTTTTTTTTTTTTACATGACTTGACTAGGTTACTCCCCTTGGCCAAGGGCTGAGTAATTTCTAAACTTTGGTTAAGAAACTCTTGTTTAATATATATTATATTTATTGTTATTTTTATTATTCTTATATTTTTACAATGTATTTTGATAGGTTCAACTGATAATCTAATCAGTTTTAATTAGACCAGCCCTCACCGTATCAATAGCCAGTCTAATCTCAATTACGATGTGTGGATTGTGAAGCATTAATCTAGTGGATTTCTTGTCTAAATTATTCTAGATTAGTGTTATCAAGATTGGACTGATCATCAAAATAGGTGAAGATTTTGATCTAATCCAAACCGGTCCAATATTAGTCAAATCAATTGAAATGATTTTTTGAACAAAGAAAAAAAAGTTTGAGATAATAGTAAAAAAATTTAAAATATATTAATTTTTTTTTTTTAACCTTCTAAAACTAGTCAAATCAATTAAAACTGGTTGATCCGATAAGAGAAAATGAGTAAAACATTGATTTTGATAATTTTTGACCAAAACTCCCTAAATCAAGCGAGGGATACCGCATGTCATTTTCTCTTCAATTTAGACTTCTGTGGAATATTGAAGAGGAACAACTTGTGTCCAATGTTGTTGAAAAGGGTATTTTGTATAAATAGCCGACCCTCTTTCGGGGGCTTCGGCCGCTCATCTGCATTTAAAATGAGGTGTTCAATTCAGCGCGAGTTGCAGTCGCCCAAACTTCTAATTCGTCGTCCCAACCACAAACCTTCATCCGTGGTACAATAAAACCCTAATTCTATCTCTTAAACCCTATTTTTTTCTCTCATCTCTCTTGATACTTTCCAGAAACTCTAATGTTTTTAAACTCTTTATATCTTGTTTAGTGGTTGGCCATATGATTGCCTCTGTTTTCTTCCAAATTATGTGAGCACTGGTATTGCATTTTAGGGATTAAATCCTAGAGTGATTCCTTTGATTGAATAATTTCTTGCGTGTTTTACAAAAACAGTATTGATTATCAAAAAATTTCTTCGAATTTGTTAAAAAAGAGTGCTGTTTATCCCCGTGTTTTGGCGATCCGATTCCTTGTCTTCCTCCTTCCTGGTTTTGTGATCAGATTCTTCAACATCTCGTATAGTTTGTGCATTTTCCTCTTTTCCATGTAATTATGCATTTCCTCATCAACGATCACTCTGTTAAGGCTTAATGTTAGTCACTAAAACTCTGAATACCTTTGTTTATCTGTTCTGTTGATTTTTCATCCAGAGAAAGAGAGAGAGAGTGACAGTGAGAGTGAGAGATAGGGATCCTTTGAGTCCTGTGTTTCTCTAGGTATCATTTTTCAACTTCGACTATTCTAATTCTTCATTTTTCTCAGCCGTCACCTGTGAAAGATGTGAAAGATACGGGAAAATGCCTACCAGAGGAGGTCGCCATTAAAGATAAAATTCCAGAAAATGACACTGTAGCTTGCTACATACCACAAACCTTAGATATCAGCCGAGAAACCTGTGGTGTTGAAGGTCTAAACAAGCTGAAAGGGGAAATCTCTGTCAAAGACGAGAGCAAAGAAGAAGATGAGGTAAAGGATTTCGAGGAGAAGCTTGCATTTGCTGCATTTCTCCGTCTTTACAGAGAAACTCATGGAGAGACAAGGGGCCAATATCGCAGCGGTTTTGCCATGGCACGGGATGCCCTAGCTTGTGCTTTCTGGATAATGGCCCTTCTCATGTCACTCGACGTCTTCATCAACGGTCCTCATCGCTCTCAGGTCCAGTTCTTTGGACCACCTCCCACTTGATGATACCTCTCTCTCTCTCTCTAAACTTTTCCAACAAAATCTCTCTCTTTCTGATTGCCAGCAAAACTCTGTTTTCTCTCTCCCTCGATGTCTCTCTATTTGTGTGAAGGCGACTCGAAAGCGTGTGTAGGGTCCATGTACATAGGGAACAATTTCTCACCAACAGTTTCATTCATTTGTGAGATTCTTTTTGGTACTTACCTCTAATGGCCTTATGACCAACGTTGAGATCGAGAGAGAGAGTGAGATTTTATTTGGGGAGTGGAGGACCGGCAGGGGCACACTGTAACTGTACTCTCTTCTAAAATTTGGTACGCCTATTCCTACTAGCTGATTATTTAGAAAAATAAAAATAATTTTTCTTTTTTAAACAGGAAAAAAAGTTTTTATAAAGTTGCAAACTTATACTATAGAAGTAAGGTGCACCTCACAAATCTAATAAAAGTTATACTATAGAAGTAAGGTGCACCTCACAAATCTAATAAAAGAGTGTTGTGAAGTTGGAAAACCTTCTAATTGATTATCTCCACCTAAAAAAGCAAGTCTTAAAAAATAATGATTATTGTAATAAGTTATTTGAGTCATCTATTTTCGAAATTTTCAAGTATTTATATATATGTGCTCGATCTGCACCATTTTTAAAACTTTTTATTTTATAATTAGGATTAAACATAAAGGTTCAAGCCAATGGTTTAAAAACCGGATCGGTGACCCGGATCGGGCTTTTCAAAAACCGATCCGGATCGGCGAATCGGCGATCCGGATCGG